CAAAATGAGAAAATAAACGACCAACAAGCAGTTGAAATTCTGCATCACATCAAGAAAATTCCGTATCCTTCAAACTTGACCATTTTTTCCTATTTTTATGCTACTCGATTCGAGTTTTATTTCTAAATTTTTTATGTTAGTCGAGCTTTATGCGAATTGATACACCACTAGTTATACTTTTTTAGGTTAAGTTATAGCAGCAATGGATAGAACAATTTAAAATTTAAATTTTTCAACAATTTAGTTGAAGCAGCATTTTTATTTAACAGTATTCAGGATTTTGGCAATTACTTTGAAAAAATCTAGAGCAAATTTGACAATACCAAACACAATCACCAAAAACTTAAAAAAAAAGATAAAAATGTTCTTTAAAAAACGTTTTTCCCCAGAAACCAATGCGACAGGATCATTCTGGGTCACATCATCCACGTTTTTTGGCTGTTTAGCACTTCACTTGAAATTCATTATTTTCAATTTTCGAAAACTCAGTGTTGACTTAAACTATCCGGACAAAAAGAACAAAATTTAAAAAACTGAAGGCGTTTTTCTGCACGTTAAATTGATATAAGACAAAAATATTTGGACAAAAGTGGCTGACTGTTCATACAATATTTGGATCAAGTTAACATCCTAATTCCTAATAAGGATACAAGACAAATAGGAAAAATTGTGAACAACTTTGAACAGGTCACAGTCCTGATTTTCTTGAAGTTTATTTAAAAAGTTTAATGTGCATTATTGAACAAATTTTACCCCCGAAGTTCAAGTTTATCGATAGGTGATAATTTAATCTACTTGCAGACTAACCGCTCACTAACTTTTTTTTATTGTTCTTTAGCTTGACGTTATAGGATCTTCTGGTGCCTCAGCGCTCCATTGATTAAGCTGGGAACCCTGTCTTTTTTGGCACAATTTGGTTTTGAAACACACAATTGAACAAATTAAGAATCTCGTTCGAAATTTTAGCCAGTTATTCTGCAAAGACAGGCTATGAGCGTACTCTGAATAGTTCTGGCTAGCAGCGCTAAAAATATAAATTCATAGTCTCTGTAAACACTTAATAACGGTTTAAAGCCCGTTCAATAGTGTATTTAGAAGCCACTTTGTAATTTAAATAATCGAGCGTAAAAAACAAATTATTGAAATAAAATCTTTGAAAACAATCGAAGACTTCCTTTTTCGGCCGACCAAACCTTGGAATTTTTCTAAGAGCGCCTTTCGCGCCCGAATATTTTAATTTAGAAGGGGAGATTGCGCCAAAAAATGCAATTTCTTGGTCAAAGTTTTCCAAAAAGGGCCTAAAAAAGCGGTTTTTGGCCTGCTTTTTTAAAAATTTGCCTGCGGTGCAGAAGTTTTGGTCACAATAGGAAATGCTGGGAAAATCAATTTGGTCGAAAAGATTTTTTGAAAATCAACCCCCAACACACAATCTAAAAATAGAAAGGGATGTTTAGCAATTTTTTGAATTTTTTAAAATAAGCAATACAAGTGTTTTGGTGTTTACTTGTGCTTCTACTGTTTTTTTTTTCAATTAGCCATGATAGATTTACATTGTAACAATTTGCAAGCCTTTTCCGATGAAAAAGTTTTCCGATGACTTCGAAAGCTTTTAACATGTGTTTTGGAAAAACTCTGTTTACATTTCTATGATCAATTTTTTCTCTGCTTTATCCTCGATTTGATTTGCTATGCTTTTTTGCTATTTTTTTTTGGTTTTTCAAACTTTGAAAAAAGTTAACAAAATATTCAACTTATTTTGAATTTTGCCTTGGTTTTGACATTCTTTCCTTTTGAAATTAAAACGTCTCGAGTTTAAATATAATTGTCATTTGTATCAACATATTTCACACAACAGAAGAGCATAAACTGGTTATTTGGGCACTCGAAAATAAATATATCTCATCGACAAAAAGAGTTCATGATCGCATTTTTTTTGCCGTTTTATTGCCACTCAAACATCTACTGGTCTACTGACAAAGCTTTAAGCATAGCCAAAAGACAGTTGGAAAACTTCATGAAAATAAAGAAACAGAAAAAAATACTCACATATCTTTTTTATCAACTTTCGAATTTTTTTTGTGACTTTAAACTTTTGTTATCTGATATTGGTTGTTGCCTTATTTTCAACACTGTAAAAAAAGTGAATTTTAAAAGAAATCAAAATTCATACCGCAAAGTTTTCAGCGTGAACAATTTTTAAGACTTTTTCCTGAAAAAATCACCATGACCTATGCAAAAGTAATCACTACGAGCATGACTCCGAATTAGGGCAACTTCGAATTAGGACACAAGTAAAATTTAATCAGCTTTGCGTGAAGAAAATGCCAAATCAAAAGCTTCATTTTTTTCGGCGGTCGTTACACCTTTCAAATTGTGGTCGGACATTTAATTTTGCGTGGCCATAGTAGCGGATTTAGGGGGCGGGGGGGGGGGGGGGGCTTGGACGCCTTTTTTTCAGGGATTCCACCCCCTGCCAACCCAAAGGGTCCCCCTTTGTACTATTTTGAGATATCCGTTTTTGGCTGACTGACCTTAAAGTTTTTCTAAAGGCCTTGGGCGCCAATCTATCCTTATTTTGTGGGGGAGCGCGCGCCGAAAAAACGCGATTTTTTGGTCGAAACTTTCCAAAAAGCGCCTAAAAATGCATTTTTCTGACCTTTTTCTAGGGTTTCTATAGTGGCTTCGGAGAGCTCAGAAAATTAATTTGGTCGACCTATAAAAAAAAGGTCGACAAAATTTTCAAAATTTTTTTTGAAAATCCGCCCCCCCTCGAAAAATTCCTAGATCCGCGCCTGCGTGGCCATGAAAGATTAGGAAAAATTTTTCTATAAGAATATAATTTTGTTGAAACTAGTGATAAACAGATTACCACTAGCAGATTAACCACATACTCAATTTTTCACATGTAATCTTGATTTGAACTGTTATTATTTAAAGGATCTCTTGGTATCATAGTGAACGAATGAACAATTTTGGAGATTTTTTATGATAAATACACACAATTGATCAAGACAAAAAGCACTTCCGAACTTTCAACAATTTTTATTGATTTGTTGAACAAAAATTATGAAATCACCATATTCTTTTTAGTTTGAATTGAAAACAACAGTGCTTTTTTTTCAAACAGAGAATTGACGTTGTTTTAATTGTACATTTGGAGATTTTACATTCATTTAACTAAACGCGCAGGAAATTGAAGGAATATTGAAAGTTCTTTTCTTTGTATTAATGAGAAAAGTATTTTTGTTAAAACAAACTCAATTTGCGGCTGGAGCATTTACACTTGTGCTTAGAACGGAACTTCAGTGCCCTTTTGACGATCGGACAAAATAGAAAAATTACAGTCAAGTGATGCGGGTTGATGGGAAATGGCGCAAAACAAACAGTAACAATTGGAACTAGTTAAAATTTGATGGCGGCATGAAAATATGCCATTCGAAACTAGTCAATATAAGATCATAAGCTGGACTTCAGTTTTCTACGAATGTTTTTTTAAAATATGAACTGAAAAATGCTAATTGTAATTGTCTGTCAAAATTTTCTCAATTGAATTTTACAAGATCAAAATGGGCACTCAATAGGCACGATTTGAACTCTTTAGGCCACCGAAATGCTGAGATAAGTTTTAAAACTTGTTCCAGATTGTTGTTCCAGATTGTAAGTGGATGCCACTCACAAAGTTTCCTTGTTCAGTGGATTCCGCGCTCAAATACTTCCGGAAATATAGATGGTTTCTAAAAATGGTGAGCAAATTCCTCAAATGCAAGCGGATTCCATTAAATCAGCTGGCGTCTTGGTCATTCCTCTCACTTTTTGCGGATTGTGCTTACAATTTTTGGGTTCTGCTTACAATTGCAGATTCTGCGACAGCGTAGTTTTACTATACAGATTTATAACTTTTTGTGTTTATAATTTAATTGATTTTAATCATTTGTTTCTGAATTCCCAAACTGTTCCGGATTTGCTGTTTTAGATTGCTATATGCTTAAAAGCTTGTCTCTAGATTCTAGAGACCTAAACACCCTAAATTTTGCGCCTGTCCAGTGCACAGTTTGACCTCGTAACTTTCTCAGACAACTGTTTTTATAAGGCACTGATCCAGAATGTCATTCGACATTGTTTCAAAATTCTTGAATGCTGCTCAAGAAAACGTGAAAAAAAAACAGGAAAAATGACAAAAGTAGGTAAAAATTTGATTTACTTGCCGGCAGGGGCGGATTTAGGGGGGGCGGGGGGGAGGGGGTGGGGTCCCCCCTTTGATACTTTTTCAGAAATCCCTTTTTTGCCGACCGACCCTAAAATTTTTCTAAAGGCGCCTTGGGCGCCAATATATACTAACTTTGAGGGGGAGCGCGCGCCAAAAAAACGCTATTTTTTTTGTCAAAATTTTTCAAAAAGTGCCCAAAAACGGCTTTTTTTGACTGTTTTTTCAAAAAATTGCCTGCGGCGCAGAAAACTTTGCCAAAATAGGGGCAAAACAGTGCTTTGGGAGAGCTCGAAAAATCAATTTGGTTGACCTAAAAAAAAAGTCGTCAAAATTTTGGAAAATTTTTTGAAAATCCGCCCCCCCGCGAGAAAATCCTAGATCCGCCCCTGCTTTCCGGTATTAAACGACTAGAAAGTTCTAGTTATCTCTCATCTGAAAAAAAGGCTCTCAATTTTGAGTTAGCGTAATATTTCACTATTTAAAGTTCAATTTCAATTCGGTCAAACACTCAATTTTGTTCAGTACTTTGCTGTTTATGAAATCAAGAGGAATGAACAAGTTTAATTGATTAGATCTGCTTAGTTTTTGACAAAAAAAACACAATTAAAAAAACTTAATTCTATCACTGTTGACTGCTAAAATTCTTAGCTGCAGACTTTTCTCTAATTAGAAACAAGGCAATCCATTATGCTTATTGTTCATTATTGTCGTTTATGATCGATTGACTTTTTTGAAAGGTTGGTTTCCAATTAGAAAGAACTTAAATCTGGAAGTGACCATTAAAAATTCTCACCTGTCCACTTTGACTCTGATTGTTGTCTGTCATGTTATAAGCATTCGCCAGGTAGTCAAAAAGAGAGAACAAGCAATAAAAACGTCACTTCCTGCTTGCAATGCAAATGTCCTGCAGTTCAAACTGCACCAGTTTTTACATCGACCAAGAGGGGAAAAGTGGTGATGTGAATGAGAATTAGATCACGTGGAAGAAGGAAAATCGAGGGAAAATAAACTGGAGTGGTAGGGTCTGTTATTGAAGGAACAACTAGAGCAGAAGAAGAGAAAGAAGCTGAGATAATTTCCGATACGTTAAGATAACTTCTACGAGAGAAGAAACAAATTTGCATATGGTATTGAGGGCAGACGTACCAATAGGTAGATTAAATTTGCCTCAGTTTTGATGAAAATTCTCTAAAACATTTGAGGAAAAATTTAAAGTACTTGCAGGTTTTTTAAAAAAATTATGATTTTTTTTCGGTTGAATTTTGTTATGCAACTGAAAAATGTAATTTCAACTGAAAAATATAAAACAACAGAAAAAGGTAATTTCAGATAGCGCTTATCTTCCCCTGTTTTTTGCCTTCGATTTAATCTGAAAGCAAGTTATAAAATTTATATGTTAAAAACTACTTTACCATATGAAAGTATTTCTTTTTGCCCTGAATGACGTAATTTTGTCGTTAAATTGGTAAATTGTTTCGAATTGCTTCTAGCTGCTTAGCATTAACTTAGCAGTGTTTTCAGTCAACAGATTTTTATTAGTATGAAATGTCGGGCATCTACTTAATGCACTATGCCACCTACCTGTAGATTGGGTCCAGTGCAGATAAAGGCTCGATGAGAGCTCCGGTGTTTAAAAACGAAACAGAAAAAATGATAACAGGGCTAAATCAGCAGAGGGGGCAGGGCAAAAATGGGCAAAATAAAGCCCAATTTACAGCTACAAGGAAGTACGCTAATCCATTTTTAACATTCCCTGGGAAAAAAGAAGTTATATTTCTTATAAATGCAAGTATAACTCATGCGAACATTTAGTGCGCTTTAAATTGTCTGTTTCTTAAGCTACACGTAAATGTAACCTCGGTATAATTTGCTTGGTAAGATGGTATAAACCAGAAAAGGAAAATAATTTGAAGGAAAAAGAAAAGCGTGAAAAGAAAGCACAGTTGTGCTTAGCATGCATCTAAAATGTGTCTGTTATTTCGCGTATAAAATTGATTTTTACCAACCGATAAACAGTGAACAAACTTAACGTTTATGGCGAATAATTAACTTCAAAATATGCTGACTTCAGTAAAAAAAATCTACGCTTTTTTGGGCAGACTTGTTCTTGTTTTTTGACAAAATGATTTCTTATTCAGCGAGCGTCGCCCTGAACAAGAAAAAAAGGAAACGGCTCGTATTGATGGAAAGCCCTTGACATTCTGGCTATTATTTAACGTATATGAAGTATTACTTATAAAAAAAACTTTTTATAGAATTCGAGAATGAAACTTACTAAAAATCAGATGTTTGCTCATAAATTATCCCGCTATACGTTTTGTTAAATGTGAAGTGATGTTATTAGCGTCTAGTAATCTAATAATAAGATCAAAAACTTGATTCGTTTGAATTTGGAATGTTGTTTGAGCCGGAATAACTCGCTGCTTACGCATTAATAGCACGAAATATATTTTACCTTGAATTCATTCAGATGACAGGAAAAAGAATTGAACCTTTCTTGCATTAAATGTAAAGAAATGGACCCAGGGTGCTTATAATCACCTAATTCAAGTTTTGCTCTACCCGCACTGATTTTTCATGGATAATAATTGATCATCTTGGATTTTTATAACATGTCTCTTTAAACTTCATAAACAACTGGTTAGAACTGATGATTCGGATTGAATTATATTGCTAATAATTTTCGAAGCAAAAAAATCTATTTGTAACTGATTATAATGGAAAGTTTTCAATTTTTTTATTTTTATTTTTTTTAAGGAACTGAATCAATTTTTCATGCTTTCAACCTTTTTTGTGCCTTTTTCATTTTTTTTTATAAAATAATTTTAAACTTCAGTCAGTCATTTTGTCGTTCTCCCGAAATATTGCATTTTGTTCCGTCTTTCAATTACAACTTAATAAAAGTATACGTGTTACTCCCCAAACAGCAATCTACCCTAAACCCATCCCCCACGTTTATCTCAACCCAAAGTCCCCCCCCCCCAGTTTTTTTTTTTTGGGGGGGGGGGGGGGGTTATTTGGTAGGGTGGGGTGGGGTGGGGTGAACGCGTGTGAGGCGGTGGGTAAACGCGTGTGAAGGAGAAGGGTAAACGGGCGAACGAGACATGGGGGTTTTCGCGGAATGCAGTCATTTGGTACAGGAGGCATCGGAGTGTGGGGAAGGAGAGGAAAAAGTGGGAAGTGAGCATGAAAATTATCTACAAAAAATTGATTATATTGAAAACAAAAACAAACAAGACTGCTTCGTATCAGGGCGAAGCCCTGAATGTTCCGACTGCCTTTGAGGTTAAACGAGCATTAATATCATAAACAACATAAAAAAATGAAAAAATATAAAATAAAACGAATTTTTTTTTCTATGAAAATCATCCCCCCACACGCCATATAATGTACAAAACAATAGATTTCGCTCCTTGTAACAAATCTATTATGGCAAATAAGCTTCTTTCAACCAATTTTGAACGATTTTAAGACGGATTACCTCTCCGCTTACGCGTTAATAGCGCGAAATATATCGCGCGTTAATTGTCCCAAATTGGCCAAAATGGCAATCTTTAAACCCCCATAACTTTACAAAAAATGATCACAGGTGAAATATCTTTTCAAATTTGAGCTCAGGACAACAATACCTTTCGAATGATATTAAAAAATTCCGTCAAGAATGGCTAGTTAAAAAGTCGAAATTTGTCTGAAGAAAAAAAAACCCACCCCGAGCACAAATATTCCGTTACTTTCGTATCGAAAGTCGGAACAATTATAATCGATTAGAATAGATTTTAAAGGATTTCTTTTGAAAATTTTTGATAATTATGGATTCCAATCTATAACTTTTTCTTAATTTGTTGCCCAATTTAATCATCTACTCAACATTTTTGCCAACAAAAGATTATTATGTTAGAATTTTATGCATGAAAATTCGGCACAGAAAGCTGGTTGTACGAAAAAAGATTCAAAAAAAGTTTTGAAAAATGCTCAAGCATAAATTCATGCCTTCAATAAAACCCGAGAAAAAATTCTAGATTTAATCAGAAAAAAAGTGAAAAATAAACAATTGCTATCAAAAGTAGTTTTGAAATTAGTTACTTGAGTTAGTTTGAACGCAATTTTAAAAAGTAAACTATTGCCTTTAAAAACGATAGAAGAAACAAACGTTCATAAGAAAGATCTAGTTGATTCTCTGAACAATTTTCTATTTTTTGGGAATACTTATCAAGAGCAGAATAAACTTTATTGGAAGGCTCTTTCTTTAAAATTCGCTGCACGGTAAAAGTAAGCGATGATACAGAGGAAAAATTTTAACGCTTTAGAACAAGTTTTCTTCGTTGAGTCGATGCTGTCCGTATTAGAACTTTCAAACTGATGACATCGTCAGTTTTTTTCCTTAAAATGCCTTGAAAAAAATTTGCCAAAAAAGATTTTGAAAGTTCCTTTATGCATTCAAATAAACTTGATTGAGAGAAAATTTAGATGTGAAATCATAAAACAAGACTGCTCGTATCAGGGCGAAGCCCTGAATGTTCCGACTGCCTTTTGAGGTTTATGGGGCAGTAATAACATTAAAAAATTAAATGTAATAAAACAAAATGAAAAAAACTTTTTTCTAAAATTTGAAAATTTTTCTATGAAAGTCATCCCCTCACAAGCATTATAAAGTATAAAAGGATAGATTTCGCTCCTTGAAACAAATCAATTATGGCAAATAAGCCTCTTTCAACCAATTTGGAACGATTTCTAAGACGGATTAACTCTCCGCATACGCGTTAATAGCGCGAATTATATCGCACTTTAATTGTCCCAAATTGGTCAAAATGGCCAAAATGGCAATCTTTAAACCCTCATAACTTTACGAAAAATGATCACAGGTGAAATATCTTCTCAAATTTAAACTCAGAACAACAATGGCTTTCGAATGATATAAAAAAATTCCGTCTAAAATGGCTAGTTTAAAAGTCGAAATTTGTCTGAAGAAAAAAAAACCCACCCCGAGCACAAATATTCCGTTACTTTCGTATCGAAAGTCGGAACAATTAGCTTCAAAATTTACTGAATAAATTTAGCAATTATTACAACCCGCTATCAATCTGATATCAAAAAAATATAAAAGGTAAGCACTCTATTTATATCAATTACAAAATCAAATTTTTGGTATCAAATATTTGACAAATTGTATTCATCGGAATTTTTGATTCTTTCATAAATATTAATTTTTTTTAGCTCATTACTTGGTGTTATTGTGTAATTTATTCTGTGAGTGGATGATTGTGAGCACTTACTTTTGTAGCATGGGCTGTAAGAAAACAGTATGGTTTCCTATATTGAAAGATAGCAACTGCTTGTTATAGACTAAACAAGGAAACAACCGAGAACCATTCCTCAATTTTGGCGTTTTCTTCTTAGGATAGCTATACGATTTTATTGTTCCAGACTCCAAATTTTGCTGACAGATAAGGAAAAACAATTTTGCATTAAAAAAAAACTGTACATAGAAATGGCAATTTTTTGTTTTCAAAGAAAAAACAAAACTGCTCGTATCAGGGCGAAACCCTGAATGCTCATGCTACCCTTTAAAGTCTATGAAAAAGTATTCGATTTAGAAAAAACTGATTAAACTTTCAAAAAAAATTCAAAAACTTTTTTTTTCAGATTTTTCTCAAAATGCATCCCCCACACACTATTTTAAGAATAAAATAATACATTCAGCATTTAATTAAATTTTAAGTAGATCAAATGGAAGAAAGATTTCTGAGACGGATTAAATCTTCGCTTAGGCGTTAATAGCACAAAATTGGCCAACCTTCAAACCCACATAACTTTACAAAATTTTACCACAGGTGAAACATAGTTTTGAAATTGAGCTCATGGCAACAATACCAACTGGCTGATATAAAAAATTTCCCTGAAAAATGGCTATTTTAAAAACTCTAAAATTGTCTAGAGAAAACAAAACAGCTCGAGCACAAATATTTCGTCACTTTCTTCAAAATTCGGGAAAAAATTCATTCATTCTTTTGTTGTCTTCTCTAAAACTATCTGAAAAATGGGGGTACAAATTTACACATTTGTTTGGAAGGAGCTAGCCAAATTATACCTTGAAATATTTTGTTTTGAATGCGTGAAAGAAACAGTATATCATAACAAGACTACTCGTATCAAGGCAAAGCCCTGAATGCTCCGACTACCCTTTAATTGGTCTTGGATAATTTTTAGTCAATTGAATATCCGCGAAATTTACTATATTTTTTTATTATTAATTATAGGTTGATAATATCAAAAATTAAGTAATGCAATTTCAGTCGTGTGTGTATGTAAGAAAACCAATTAGCTGCCTCATTTCAATTCATAACGGTTTTGTTGTGCGGGATTATAAAACAAGCAGGCTTAGATACACATGGTGTGCATTAATATAGTGGTGAGCAAACTCGGCTGGCACCCTGCAGATCTAGAGATCGACCCTCCGACGGACCAGTTTTGTTAAAGTGGTCCGAACAAACAATCCACCCGAGTAATTTCATCGTAAGTCGTAACAACAAGTATCAGAGGTGCTATTTTTCAGTCTAACTTTATCTAACCCCACCTACAAGTCCGATGATTCCTGTCTCAGATCTCAACAATCACCTGTCTCAAGGACCGTAAAAACACCAGCAAAAAACGAGTCAGTTCTAGGATTGACCCCGCTTATGCTCGAATAACTCCAAACATAAGTGCTCAACGATTCGATGACTATAGCAAAGTAGCAGTTTGATTGTTGCACGCTGGAGTTCTGGCATGGACACCTACACCTAATCATATCTACGAGCAGATTCTTACCGATAGTGGACCAGGAATGAAAGGGTCCAGACGACAGCGCCTTCAAGTGGTGGAACCGACATCCTGGCTTGCCAGGTTGCAAATGGCGTCAA